AAAAAAAAAACAAGTATCTTCTTGAAGTCCCTCAAATTAAGGTAAAGAATAAGAACAAATCATTCTGGAAGAACGCAAAGGAAAATAGCTTTAGATACTTAAGTGACAATAGAATTTATTCTCATAATTGTTTTAATAGCTTTTGTATAATCCTCATCGCTATTATGTGATATAAAATGTATTTATCAAATCTGTAATCATTATGCCAAAAAATCTGAATTACTGTAATATTTTGTATATTGTTAAAACTGTAACTTTAATTGTAAAAAAGAAAAATTTTAAATTAAAAAAAAATTACCAACTTGGTATGGTGGTTTGTGCTATAACCCCCAGCACTCTAGAGGTTGAGGCAGGAGGACTGCCATGTTTAAAGCTAACCTGGGTTACATATCAAAACCTTGTCTCAAATAACAACAACTACAATAATAATTGCCTGAACCCCTTCTCATTATATTATTGTGCCTTTTAAAGTTTGGGTGAGTTATTTTATATGTATGGGAGTCTTTGGGATCTGTTGTTAGTCAAATATGTTGATATTTCCCTATATTCTAGGTTGGTCTGGGTAATCTCCCTGCCTTTGGCTCTCCAGTGCTGGGATAGTAGGCATGGGCCACCATGCCTAGTTAAATACACCTATTCTTGCAGGTTGTTCAAAGCCAAACCACAACTGAGTTGTTCAACTGAAAAAATAAATGTGAATGAGCAGGGCATCAACTCATGACCTGCCACTGTAGTGGGCATAAGAACTGATGTTTGTCTCTTTCATGTACTAGGACTCCGAATATTCACTAATTACCTGGGAAGGACTGTTCTGACCAAATGGAGGAGGAAGCTGGGGAGGAACCAGGGCTAGGCAGGTCGACAGCCCCCAGAGACTTCCACTTTTATCACATGGATCTGTATGACTCTGAGGATAGACTGCAGCTCTTCCCAGGAGAAAACAACAGAATTAGGAGAGAAGTGATTGAAGCTGAAATGACCAAAGAGCCAAGAGGGGCGGGGGAAGGTAAGCCTCTACAGGAGGAAGTGGATGAGCTTGTCCATTTATATGGACTTGAAGATGACCATGAGTTAGGGGAGGAGTTTGTTGATGAACACAGACTGGGGGCCTTTGGGTATCCTCCCTATGGGATGAAGAGGAGAGACCTAGCCAGGGAGCAGAGAGATTGGAGGCTTAGTGGTGAGGCAGCAGAAGCTGAGGACCTGGACTATGGAGGGCAAGTCCTAGCTGGCCAGTGCCAAACCCTTCGGGAAGCATATGGCCGTGCAAGCGAGGAATACGAATGCTACGTCATCCCAGAGGAGGAGGATGAGGAAGAGCCTGCTGATGTCTTTTGTATCACTTGCAAAACTCCAATAAGAGCTGTTGAGAAGGAATTTGATGAGCACAAGGATCATGAAGTGACACCACTCAATAAAGCATTGGAAAATGCCAAGGTAATATCTCTGTCCAGCTTCATCCAGAGAGCTTGCTTTCCTCTTAGGAAGGCAGGCAAGAAATGATTCCCAAATAACTACCACAAAACATAGAACAGACATAGCACTAACGTCTTATTTGTGCTGTTCTGTTGGACAGGATGAAATTCACAAAAACATGTACAAATTAGAACAGCAAATTATCGAGATGGAAAATTTTGCTACTCACCTGGAGGAGGTGTTCATCACTGTGGAGGTTAGAACGTGCTTGGTGACCTCATCAGACACACAAGGCTTCCATCACTATTCCTAGTGAATTTGAGAATCTGCTTCTTAGAATGTGAGGTGTTACCCTTGCCCCCTCCCCTCAGTTTTCTGTGGACCTCCCACCACCCTGGGGCATGGTCTTCATTCCCTACAGCACATCCCATATCTTACAAACCTTAGGTAAGAGAGGCTGGGTTCCCCCCATCCACCCTGTGTGTGTGTGTGTGTGTGTGTGTGTGTGTGTGTGTGTGTGTGTGTGTATACAGACCCACTTCCTGGGATCTTTCAAAGCAGGTATGTTATACACGTTTGTTGCATGAATAAATAAGGCAGAAACTTTCCAATCAAACTACCAATTGCATGTGATTTGAACTCCTTTATTCTAACAATGAGGACAGGTTCATGAGGGCTCAGGAGGGAAGGACTGGTGGAAATCTCTCAGGATTGAGGTCAAAGCTTCCAGTAACAAGCTGATTCATCATTAATGAGTTCCCTGGTCAGTTGTAATGGTGATAAGAGACAGCTAAAACAGGGAGAGAATTGCAAAATTCTGTTAGGAAAGATAGCAATGCTTTCTGTTAAGAATATTCCTGGGGAGGTGGGGCTATACCTCAGTTGGTTAAGTGCTTGCTATGCAAGCATGAGGACCTGAGTTTGATCCCTAGAACCACATAAAATGGCTGGGTGTAGTGATTCGTGCTTGTAATTCCAGTGTTGGGGAGCCAGAAACAGGAAGATCCCTGGTGTTGGACTGCTAGCCAGTCTAGCCTAATTGATGAGCTACAGGCCAGTGAGAAACCCTGTGTATGGCATGCATGCACATGCAAATACTTGCACACACATGAAATAAATAATTAATTAAATTATTCCTGGGCATCTATGATAGAGACTCCTTTGTCCTGGCTCTACCCCCCCTCCCCCAACATCTACTCCAGCATTCTTGTGAGAGCTAGGACAAAGTGGAAAGATGAAAATAGCTCTAGGTAGACAGAGTTTCATGTCTTTGATGACTCTAGTCAACATATCACATGCACTGGAATAATGGCTGGGGTCCACTGTCTTGCAGGAGAATTTTGGAAGACAAGAGCAAAACTTTGAGTCACGCTATAATGAGATCTTGGAAACACTTGCTCAAAAGTATGAAGAAAAAATTCAGGCTCTAGGGAAGAAAAAGAAAGAGAAGTTAGAAACCTTGTATGGACAGCTAGTCAGCTGTGGAGAAAACCTAGATGCCTGTAAAGAGCTGATGGAAACCATAGAGGAGATGTGTCATGAGGAGAAGGTTGAATTCTTAAAGGTCAGTGATGACACCGAAAGGAAAGAAACAAAGCCATGAACTGAAATTCCAGTTTTAGCCAGGTGGGCTAGCTTGCTCTCCCTCCTCCTGAAGATCTCAGAGTTGACTTTCATGGTCGGAATCTGCTTAATGGTAGTGGTAGAAGGTTGTCACTCTATCGCTTGCATCACTTGGTCAAGAGTAACCAAGCAGGCTGGGACACAGCTGGATCTTTCCCTCCGCCATTCCTGAGGTAGCCAGGCTTTGTTCCTCTGCCTCCTTATCCTGAAGCTGAGCAAAAACATTATCCTGAGAGTTTTGTAGCTTCCTCAGATGGCACCTCTTGAAGCTCTGGGAGAAAGTGGTCCAGATAAATAAGGCACCTTAAATTTCCCTGTAACAAGGGTAGCAGTTATAGATCTTAATGTATAGCTTCACATATATATAAAAAATTGCATTTCTCAATTGTATTAAAGTTATATACAGTCTGATCCAAGCCCCATATAGCTGGTCTGTGGGAATTTCAACCTCAGTCAGAGGTTCCATAAGATTTTGCCAGACTATGGAGCAGATATGGTGGCCACAAAATTGGGGAAGGGCCTTCAGCCTTCCAGAATCTTCCTAGATGCTGAGTATGCTCCCCACCCATTGTCCAAGCCCACAGCTGTCCCTCAAATCCCAACTGTGCCCCCTTCCTGCTCAGCTTGGGGTAAGCAATTCATGACTAGGTAAAGAGCAATATGACAGGTGCCATGAGAGCCACCAACACTGGTACCTCTTGAGCCAGCAGTCCCAAGATACCACTGTGTCTCAAATCCAGAATTCATTCTTTCACTGTTATTTGTGACTATGAAAACTTGCAGACAGCCACAATGTACTACAGCAGAGGAACTGCTATAAACAATGACGTTTCCATGCAAAGAACTGCTTGAAGTGTTTATACTCAGTGGTTCAAAGGGTCCTGTGAGGCATGGGAAGACTTACAGACTGCTGATGGAGCAGGTGGAGGAGTATGGAAAGAAATGCACGGGTATAGTGGTGGTGTTAGGGTGATTTCCCCTTTCCTAATTTCCAATAAAAATATTTACATTACGTAGTTTAAATAAACATTATTTCCTAAATCAGTTTAATATTTTTCTTTCTTTCTTCTTTTTTAGGATGCAGTAGCTATGACTGACAGGTAATAAATACTTTTTTGGTTTTTTTTTAATTTTTAAAATTTTATGTGTATGAGTATTTTGCCTGCATGCATGTAAGTGCATAAGTCCAGCGTCCACAGAGACCAGAAGAGTGCGTTGGATCCCCTGGAACTGGAGTTACGAATGGTTTTGCCACCATGTGGGTACTGGGAACTGAACTCAGGTCCTCTCTCTGCAAGAGCAGCCAGTGCTCTTAACCGGTGAACCATCTTTCCAGCCCCATTGTTTGTTCTTTGAGACAAGTTCTCTCTGCGTAGCCCTGGCTGACCTAGAACTTGTATTTAGATCATACTAGCCTAGAACTCAGAGATCTACTTGCCTCTGCCCCCAAGTGCTAGGATTAAAGGCGTGTGGCACCATGCCCAACAGATAAAAGTTTTGACCTGACATTTTTTTTTTCTGTTCCTTTTACCTCTAGACCCAGTTCCACTGAGTTAGTAGCTTTACCTTTCAGCTTCTGTGACCCTATGAGTAAAATAATACTGGCTTTGGATGTCAGTATGGGGTCATGAGGTCCCTCTGGAATTGAATCAGACACACAAGAACACAAACCCTGCCACCCATATGACCTTGGATGAGTCTAAGTCTAAAGCCCAACCTTCCCTATTTACAAACAGGGTTGGTTTCGTGAGAACGAGATCAAGTCAGTCAACATTCCAGCATGCCTTGGGAAGTAGTTCATGAGCCCCCACCCTAGGAGGAACTTTGGACAGTTGATGGCATTGGGGGTGGAGTCAGCTTTCGTTAAAGGTGTGGCAACTGGTAGCTTGACCAGTCTAGTTGATTGCCCCACACTCAGGTGTATGTGGGCAGCACAAATTGGACTGGATGGGTTATTAGAAAAAAGAAAAGACATGCAGTGGGGGAAGATAAATAGGGGGCTAATGAGGTGGGGGTGGATCTAGAAAGAGTTAGGGGAAGAATGGGAGCTGAATATATTCAAAATATATTGCATGAAATTTTCAAGGAATTAATAAATTATATATATATACATATTTTTTTTTGTCTTTTTGAGACAGAGTCTCTCTGTAGCCCCAGCTGTCCTGGAACACACTATGTAGACCAGGCTGGCCTTGAACTCACAGAGATCTGCCTGCCTCTGCCTCCCGAGTGCTGGGATTAAAGGCATGCACCACCACGCCCGGCCTAAATTATATTTTTAAAAGACAGCATACATAACATGAACATAAGGACTTAATAATGTAAGGGCTAAACAAGTTTTGGCAAAAATGGGCCTGCATTTCAATTTCTGCCTCTGTCACTTTGAGAACTTGTGACTGCCAGGGAGCAGGTACAATGAGATCTAGAGCTGTTGTAGATCTAGAACAGCAATTTGAGGGCATCTGTCTGTGTGGAGAGGGAGTCCTTAGGGTATAAATCTCAAGTACATGTTGGAATGATATGGGGTGGAGTTTCCATGGTAGCCCCTGAGAGATGCTGCAGGTGGTACAGAGCTGCATCTTATTGATGGATGAACTTCCATCTATCCTCAAGCCCAACTCCACAATTCCACTGCCCCCCCCCCGGAAGGCTCAGATTGTGATGGATGATTTCATAAGTAGTGTCCTTAAAAGGCTCCTGTGTTGAAGGCTTGGTTCTCAAAGCAGCTATGTTTAAAAGTGGGCCTTTGGGGAAATGATTGTTTTAGTAGGGCTCTAATCTCATGAATGAGAATCCTTTGATTGGTTCATAATTATTCTACACTACTGGGAGGTGGTGGAAATGAGGAGTTGAGGTCCTGTTGAAGGAAGTGAGTCACTAGGGGCTTGCCATTGAGGGGTATGTCTTTCCCTGACCCATACTTGTCTCTGTCTGCTTCTTGGTTGCCAAAAAGAAAGCAACTTTTCTCTACCCTGCTCTGCTAAGAGCAATGGAGCCAGCTGACCATGGACTGAAACTAGAAGCAAAAACAAACCTTTCTTGTCTTGTGTATTTGTCACAGTGACAAAATTTTAATACAGTGACTTTCTAGGTCTGTCACTAAATCAGAGAGTAGAAGCCAGAAGCATGTGAAGAAGTGCAAGTTTGGCAAAAGTGGCTGTATCCGTTTCTTCCTAGTGACCTAACACTATAGACAAGCCCTAGAATGAATGTCCCTCCATCCTTGCGGGCATGTCTTTTTATACTAACAGACTTGGGAAATTCCTGAAAACCAAAACAGACGTGGTAATCTCCACACAACCTGAATTTGAAGACCAGACCTTGGACTTCTCTGATGTGGAGCAGCTGATGGACTCCATCAACACTGTTCCAGGTCTGTATCCGTCCTGTGCATCTTCATAGCAGCTCAGATTTCCAGGAGTGTGTGTGTGTGTGTGTGTGTGTGTGTGTGTGTGTGTGTACATACACTAGACTTGTGCCCTGTCTAGAATGAAAGGAATGTAGATAAATATATTCCACGTTTACCTATGCTCTTCCCTGGACTGATCAAGTTCAAGTTTTGAACCTAAGGACACTTTTAAAAGCCAGGGATGAAGGGAGGTGCTGCCAGAGAAGATGGATAGAGGAAACAATGCTGCAAGCTTTCCTTCTCTGTTCTGTGTGAGGCTGGAGAGTGGGGGATGGAGGAGACAGAAGTGTTAACATAAGAGAAGAAAATAATCACCTCACTGTACCTGGACTATGAAGAAGATGGAGGGGAGAGGGCTCAATGAGTAAAGTGCTTGATGTTCAAGCATGAGGACTTGAGTGTGGATCCCCAGCACCCATGTTGAAACAATTTTTTAAAAATTTTATTTTCTGTGTATGAGTGAACTGTCTGCATGTAAGTCCACCCATTTTGTGCAATACCCACCAAGGTCAGAAGGCACTGGATTCCCCTGGAACTGGAATTATGGATGGCTGTTAGCCACCATGTGGGTACTAGAACTCGAACCCAGGTCCTCTGCAAAAGCAGCCAGTGCTCTTAACTGCTGAGCCACCTCTCTAGCCCCAAAATCACTTTCTTAAAGGCGCAACAGTACATGCTTGTAATCCCAGCCCTGGGGAGGCAGAGACAGGAGGGTCCTCTGGGCTTGCTGGCTAGCTAGTCTAGCCTAATTAGTGAACTCCAGGTTCAGTGAGAAACTGTGTCTCAAAGAATAAGGTGGTAGAGGTTGACACTTAACTTGGACATCTGGCCTCCACACACATGTACATACACATGCATTCTACATACTCACACATATATACCCATGTATACATGGAAGAAAATGGTTCTAGAATGCAGGCTGGCCACTCCAATGCTCTTTCAGTTCAACATGTGAGATGGCCATCAGACCTTGCCTTTACTCACTCTGGGTGGCAGGGACAGCAGTTCTGTGAGCCTGGCTGTTCTGTCTCTTTAGATGTCGTAGAAGAGGACTGACAATCAGCACTGGAACATGCAAACCTCACCCAGGCTGAGACTCCATGGCCAGTCCCAGCTCACAAGCTCATCTGCATTTGCCTAAGTGGAAATGGACATTCTGGTGCTCCTGGGGCTCCTGGTTGAGAGTTTGCATCCCCATACCTGTCCCCTCTGGGAAAGATGCATTGGGGATCAATGGCCCTGTAAAAGGGGCCACTCCCATCCCACACCTGCACACATGGCTTCTCATTTGCTTTCTCTCGTTTCCTTTTCTAGCTCCCTCCGCTCCTGTGATAAATCCACAGGCCCCCAATTCGGCCACAGGTTCCTCTGTCCGTGTGTGCTGGAGTTTATACTCTGATGACACTGTGGAGAGCTATCAGTTGTCCTACAGGCCAGTGCAGGACAATTCACCTGGCAAGGACCAAGTAGGTAAGTTTCCGCCACCCCTAGCACCCAGCTCTGTCATTTTAATAGTGGACCTGGGCACAGAAAAGCCACTCTACCTATTTTAAAGGTCAAATTCTTACTTTGTTTTTTCCTTCCAGAGTTTACCATGACTGTCAAAGAAACATATTGCTCAGTGACAAACCTGGAGCCAAATACCCAATATGAATTTTGGGTCATAGCTCAGAACAGGACTGGCCCCAGCCCCTCCAGTGAGCATGCAGTGTACATGACAGGTAATGGGACTACTTATTTTCAGTAGCTGGGCTTTCATTCAAGGGGACACAGTAGTTATGGGTTTATAGATGTGACAGGGCTGTCCATTTAATTCAAAAGGACAAAAAAGCCACGTGACTTTTTCCTCCCGTCTTTCATTTAATGCGCTAGATCGTGTGCCTGGTATGGCAAAGGCATTTTCTCATGGCTGGTCTCTATGGTAGATCACGCCTAGTCACGTTGACACTTGGGATCATGTCCATCCTCAACCCCATGACTATCTATCTGAAAGGGTCACCGGATTGCCCTGAGTCACTTTAGTGGGGAAGAGGAAGGTGGTTGTGATGCCTGTCCACGGCTCTGAGCAGAATGGCTGGAGATGAACCTCATGGCTGCTGTCTGTCCTTTCTCCCACACTCAGCCCCTTCTCCTCCCATTATAAAAAGCAAAGCGATAAGGAGCTGTGAAGAGGCTGTGCTGATTTGCTGGGAGTCTGGGAACTTGAATCCTGTGGACTCCTACACAGTGGAGCTGACCCCGGAAGAAACTCCAGAAACCTCGGGCGTAACTGAGTGAGTCTTGGGGGCCTCCACTGGCAGCTTAAAGCATATGGAGTCTGGGGACAAGGTCAGAATCGATGACACACGGCAGTCTTGATTAAGTTGCTTAGTGTTCCTAAGAAGCAGCTAGAATGTTATTATTGACGCAGAATGATGAACATACGTGGCAAAACTCCATGTCAGCTTTTTACAAATCCAATTAAGGACTGGGGAGGGGGCTCAGTGGGTAAGACTGCTTGCTATTGCAATCATGAAGACCTGAGTTCAGATCTGCAGCACCCACATAAAAAGATAGGTGTGACCGCTCACGTGTAACCCCAGAGCTGAGGTGGGTGAAGACAGGACTGCCAGCCTAGCTCCAGGATCAATGAGAGACCTTGCCTCAAAGGAATGAGTCAGAGAGTGAGAGGGCAGGACACATAATATCCTCCTCTGGCCTCCAAGTGCACTCATGGGTATACACAACTGCACATACACACGTGTGCATGCACTGCAGTCATACCCACACCAAGTCCAAGTAAGATTTCCCCTTGGGCCAAGTATTGTGGCACAGACTTGTAATCTCAGCCCTTGGCTATAGACTGAGACCCTGTCTCAACAAACAAACAAACAAACAAAAAAACCCAAATATTTACCTTGCAAGGGAAATACCAAGAACATGATTTTCCCAAGGTGAAGCTTTGAGAGGTGGTGGCAGGGTGATCAGGAGTTTAAGGTCATCTTCATATATATAGCAGGTCTGAGGCTAGCCTGAGCTACATAAGAATGTCTGAAAAAAAAGAGTTCTCTTTCATTTATTCACTGAGTATCAAGTATTGAGGGCCTCATGGTGTTGGGGAGCTAGAAAGATACAGTCCTTGCTCTTATGGAGCTGGAAGCCCAGGGAGGAAAACAAACAACAGACAAACCACAACACAACAGCTGCCCTGGTTGGCTTCAGTTGTCAACTTGACACACCAGGGAAGAGGGAATCTCGAGTAGGGAAATTTCCTCTATCAGATTGTTCTTTGGGCATGTCTATGAGGCATTTTCTTGATTGTTGAATGATGTGGGAGGGCCCATCCTACTAGGGGTGGTGCCACCCCTAGTCATATGGTCTATAAGAAAGCAGGTTGAAGTCAGGTATGGTGGCACACACCTTTAATCCCTGCACTCAGGAGGCTGAGGCAGGGAATCTTTGTGAGATTGAGGCCAACCTGGTCTGTTCCGGGCCAACTGGAGACCTTGTCTCAACCCATACCACACCATTCAGAGAGAGAGAGAGAGAGAGAGAGAGAGAGAGAGAGAGAGAACTAAGCACAGGCCACAGGAGGAGCAAGTCAGTAAGAAGTAATCCCCTGTGGTCTGTGCTTCAGTTCCTACCTCCAGGTTCCTGCCTTGAGTTCTTGCCCCGATTTCCCTCAGTGGTGAATTGTGACCTGGAAGTTGTAAGCTGAAATAAACCCTCTTTCCCAAGTTGCTTTTGGTCAGTGTTTTATCACAGCAATAGAAAGTTAACTAGGACAATGTGTAAAATACACAGTTCAGGGAAAGAGAAATGTAATGGAGAGAATGGCAGAGGAGGTGGGGTCACTTTTGATGGATATTTCAGTCAGGATGGAAGGACTGAACCTAAGAGGGGAAAGAGTGAGCTGGGTGCTCCTGCAGGAGGAAAAGAGCTTCCTGGGCATGATCTTGAGACAGGAGTGAGCTGCATGTGCCACAGGAACTAGGGACCAATGTGGCTGGAAATAGAGGATGACAGAGATGGGCACAAGGAACAAAGACTGCAACGTGCAATGTATAAAGAGTACTGTCTGCTGCAGAAGGTTGTCTGAAGGCTTGTCCCTCCCTGGCTGTCCAAGAGTGGGAGGCCTCCACAAGTAGATGAGGACTGGACTCAGTGGCCACCAAGGCCTGTAGGTTCCATGAATCTACAATAAGGCATCATGGCTTATACCCAGACTGTTTCTCTGGTTTACAGACAAGCAGCTTTAAAGCTGGGAGATCAGGAATCATCCAGTCAGGCAGCCCAGTACCCACCACAGAGTCGAGGGTAGCCCTGCTGTGGAGTGTGGGGATGCACTGAACTGGATTGAGAGAATGGAGGAGGGCTTTGGGGATGGCTGTTACAGAAGCAAATTCTAATGCTGGTTTTAGAGCCTGGCCATCTGTCCTCTCCATCTGTTCTTGGTGGAAGCTAGGAGCCCACTGCCATATCAAAGCTAACCTAGGTTTTGTTCTTCTAAAGGTATCAGAAGTCAAGGAAGGGGTCCAGTGGCTCTGCCATCATAGTGGTTCAAGTTCCTTTTGAAATTTAGAAGCACTGGAGACCTGGGACTAACCCATAATGATGGGTTCCTTAGTGACCTGAGTGATCTAAGGTGGTACTCACTCTCCCAGAGCAAACGGAATCACATGTCCCATCATGGAAGGAAAGGCAGAACTTCACAGGCTGTGGTTCCTTCCTCCCTCTCCCACTCATCCCACACCAACTCCCCCTCTGTCTCCAGCTCCTACTTTCCTTGTTCTTTTTGCCACAGGACCTTTGCACACACTACTTCTTTTGTACAGGAGTCTCCACTATCCCTCTTTCACCCAGTCACCTCCTAGTCACTCTTCAGAAATCAATGTAAAAGTCACCACCATCCTTACACACTGTAGCACACTGTGGCTTGTCATGACCACCATGGTGATGTCTTGAGAAATGCCTAGCTTCTCATCCAGACTGCCGGCTCCACAGGAACAGGGACTATGGTCAGTTTCCCTCAGGGCATCTCTATTGAATGAATATGGGAAAGTGCCCCTCTGGCCCAGAGCTGCAGCCTTAAGTATGTAGCCCGTCTTGTCTATGTAAAGTGTCATATCTGTAAATAGGCACTGTCCAGAAGACTTCTGTTGTCCCCTGGCCTGAAATGGACTTGGCAGTCACAGGAATCCAAATGGTCCTAACTGTGGGCTTATATTCCTGTACAAGCCAATAGAAATGAATTGGATTATTTTCTGAGGCAGCTGTCCTTAGCAGTGGACTTGCATGAACCCTCTTCAGCTCTGTCAGAGTCAACTGGTTATAGACACTCACTGAAAGGATTCTATGGGCCAGGAATGTACTATAGTTAGTGGCACACAGCCTTGCCCTCAAAGAGGTTATGTCCCTAACAGTGAGTGGGAGACATAGTGCGCACACTCCACAACTCTGTAGTAGGCATGAGTTAAGCATAGTGCTAGATGCCTGAGAAACCTGAGTGAGGAGCTTGGAAGGGAGACAGCTACACCAGAGCAGCAAGCAAGAAGGAAAAGTAGGCTACAGGCTGTGGGAGGCCCACAGAGGGAGCCATCACTCCTGGCTATGTTGCTGAAGGTCAGGGACAGTGGGTGTGAGAAGGACGGTTGGTGCCTGGGCCTACACTGACTGTGGCTCTGCTTCCTTGACCAGGTCTGTTGTGGGCATCCCAACCTGTGAGTCCCTGATACAGCTGCAGCCCAGACACAGCTACACAATCTACGTTCGAGCCCTCAATGTTGGGGGCACCAGTGCCAGAAGCAAGCCCGCTATGGTCCACACCACAGGTCTGTGTCTCAGCCATACATGAGACTCAAAGTGGCCACTTTGTGGCAGACTCAGTGCTGCTAAGACTTCACCAGAAAACCTAACTGTACACAGATATGGACAGGTGGCAAGTCAGGCCTGGAAGGGACTCAAGGGCCATCAAAGCCCTTGCTCTCATTTTACAGATGAAGAGGCTAAAGGCCCAGGTCACACAGAACTGGGTTGGCATTAGAATTCAAGTGGACCAGAAGCTGCCACTGATCTGGGTGGCATAGATACTTTTTAGCCCACAACTTTTTGTTTTGCTTTTTTGAGACAAGATCTTATTAAGTAGCATGGGCCAATCTGGAACTCACTTTGTCATCAGGCTGACCTTGAACTCAGGGCAATCCTCTTGCCTCAGTCTCTCAAGTGCTGGGGATTACAGGTGTGAGCCGCCATACCTGGCTTAGAATAGGGCTGTTTCAACATTCCCAAGAACTGCCAGTGGTCATGACCACCTTCCTGTTCCTACTGTCAGCTCACGTAGCTCTCCGACTGGAAGCTGACCTTGTCCTACTGCCCAGCCTCCTCCTTACCCTGTCTGGCTGTTCTGGGGACTTACATCCCATACCTGCCATCATTGTGTCAGAGAACTGGACATTCCAGGTCCAAGTCCTGAGTGAGCAGAGACCTCTAGAGAAACGTCCATCCCCTATACAGCTGTGTAATCTGAGCTTTACTGAAGTGTCCAGGAGCTTCACAGAGAAAACCAGCTCAGACCAGCTGAGTGGGTGGCCTCCAGGTGAGCAGCAGAGGCAAGGGACAGGCCAGTGTTCTGGGGACAACAGTCTCTTTACTGAGCTCTTTCACAGAGACACACTGTGCCTTTTATCCCCTCTTTCCAGTGGCAGAAGGAGAGGTGTATGAGTAACTCACATTTATATTCCTTCCACACAGATGGGAAAATCAAGTTTGGCAGCCACCTAAGGTCTAAGAACTGGACAGGACTGCTGCCAGGATCAGAACTCGGAGTTTCCTTTTCTTTTGTTCTGGGGCCTTCCTTCACTTGTCTGGCACTTCTAATTTTCTGTGCTGACTTGGTGTTTTGAAATGTCAGATTCTTGCTGTTTCAAAAACAAAACAAAACAAAAAAGAAAGCAAAGGTACAGCCAGCTCTTTTCTTTCTTTTCTACAATTTTTAAATTTTTGTTTTTATTAAATTTTGTTGTATTTCATACAGAATATCTCAAACAATCTGAATCACCTTTATAGCCCCATCCCTGCCAGCACCCTCCCATAGCCTCCCCCTCCACTGGAAACCAAATACTCTGTTCTGGGTGTTAAGGCCCACTGTATCAAGTCAGTGTCCCCAGGCGTTCCCCAGTGCAAGTCCATCCACTTGTGGTCTAGTCAGATCCCTCTCATCTATCTATCCAAACACCTATTGTTTTCTTTCTTTTTTATTTATTTATTTTTTATTTTACATGTATGCATGTATTGCCTGCATGTAGGTAAGTGCATCCGTGTCATGCAATGCCCATGGAAGACAGAAGAGACCGGCAGATCCCCTGGAACTGGAGTTACAGACAGTTGTTAGCTGCCATGCTAACATGGGTGCTGGGGTTCAAACCCAGGTCTTCTGAAAGAACAGTGTTCTTAACCACTGAGCCATCTCTCCAGCCCCTTTCTTTTTTTTTTTTTTTTTTTTTAACAGAGCATAGGGTGGGGGTTTATTTACAGGAGTGGGCACTCACATTTACAGCTGCACTGGAAATTCAACACTCAAATATAGATCCTGTGACTTCCTGACAGCTGTAGAAAATGATGAGAGAGGGGGCCTCATGGCATTCTCAGCTTATATATCCTTAGCCCCTCCTCCACATGCAGCTAAGGTCGACTGATTGGGTAGGAGGGCTAACTGACTCCCCCCTCGACTCCTTAATGAGTGTCGGAAGGAGGTGTGACTATAGCTTGCCAGCATAGTGGAGTAATCTCCAGTACTCCACCCCTTCCTCCAGCTCTTACATTCTTTCAGCCAAACTCTTCTGCAAAAGTTCCTGAACCCTGGAGAGGGGTGACAGGTATGGGATGATCTTCCTCCTATTGTGGCAAGGGCACTGAACTTTCAGGTTTCCCATGGGCTGTTGGCCCATTTCAGTGGGATTCCATCTATACCACGTTGGAGGCCAGATCCAGGTGTTCTCAGGCAGTCTGCTGAGTTCTCAGCCCCTATGCCAGAGGGAGGCCAGGTCTGCTGAGATCTTTCTTTTCTAAACAAGGCATTGAACCTTGGCTGATACATAGCACTCAGGAGGTTGAGACAAGAGGATTATTACAAGCTTGGATTACATAGTGAGTTCTAGGTGAGACTGGTCTACAGTATGTCACCCAGTCTGAAAACAACAAAAACAAATTCCCTAAATTTTGTAAGGTTAGAAATTCTTACTCAGTTGTAGACATTCATAGCCTACAAGCTAAAAGCATGGCCTCTGGAACCAGAGACAAGTCATTCGATCTGAGTTCTATCATTTGCCAGCCTGTTTTATTTTAACCACCTGTGCCTCAGTTTCCTCATCTGCAAAGTGGAAATAGCAACCTTGATTCTAGGTATAACCATAAGGACTGAAGGACATAAGACATGCAAACTATACTGTGTAGCTTGGCACTAACCACACAAGTCCTGCCCTATGCAGAGTAACTGCCATTCCTATTCACAGGTCGGTAATGGGGGGAGGTAACAGGGGGACCACAAGTCGGTAATGACTCTCCCAGGGGCAGGCTTCTGTGTATCCCACAGGATGAAGCCCATGTGTTTGGGTAGTGACCCAAGGCCATGTGGGAAAATCATGAAATGACCGGCTGGGGGCTTCCAGATGTTCCTTCCCTCCACAGGCAGCTACTTTCACCTGAACAAGGACACCTGCCATCCCTGGCTGACTATTTCTGAAGATGAGTTTACAGTGGTTCGAAGTGAAAAGAAAACTCTCAAAAGGGAGCCACCACCTGGCAAGGCCCAGTTTACCAGGTATTTGATTGATCACTCCCTGGAACATTCTGGGAACTTACCTAATGCTGCTGCCATTCAGAAGAAATTAGATTATGGAAAACAGATACAGGTGGTGGGGAAGAGACCCAAGGAAGGGGAGAGAGGAACCAGAGGACTGTGGTGGCCCCTGCACAGGGCAGGTCCCAGTCTATTGGGATATGAAATGTGACCAGGCTGTCAGATCACTTAAGGACAGAGACAAGGCACAGAGCACTTTCTCCTGTTACCAGGTTAAGGTTTCTCCTAAGATCTTATATTCTTGAGTCAAGAGACACAGAGGTGTAGGTGGAGGTTGATTTGGCAAAGCGAAACAGAGCATGTACTCCAAAGAGTTGGAGGGAGCTGTCCTGGAGACCATGGTAGCTGCACAGCAGGTTCTGTTGTGTATGTTTTAAAGATTTCTGAATGTTTATGAGGTAGGTGGCATATTCATAATGTAAGGTGACCCTTTTTCCTCCCAAATTGTAGTCAACTGAATCTCTCTTTTAAGAGCATTTCCTCCCATGATCCTCTAGAAAAGCCAAAAGAGATCAAAATCACAATGCAAGTGGTACATGATGTCAGGCCTTTGGAGGATGCATACCCTTCACTAGTGTGCATGTGCAGCATGTGTGGCAGCTGAAACAACCTAACCGGAGCTTCAAGGATGCTTAACCATGCGGGGCATTCTGACCACCAGGAAACTACAACCAAGTCACATCTGCACGTCTCCCTGGTTGCCTCAGAGCTAGCAGCTTGTCTTCCCCATTTTACTCCCTCAGACAAAAACTCCCCAGGGAGCACTAGTAGTTGAGTGGGCTGATCCTAAAGTGATGTAGAAAACTGTGTGCACTTACATAGGACCTGGGGGTGAGGCTTACCAAAGACGCTGTCTGTCTGTCCAGCTCTCTAGCTCCTTCTAGAACTCAGTACTTCATGTTGACCTATTTATTTATATCATCCTTTCTCCAAGGTGATAGAAAAAGCTTAAAATAAAGAAAATATGTAATAGTGAAAGAAAAATAAAAATAGAAGAAAAAGGGAAGATTAACTTCAAAGGCTGAATGAATTGCCAAGATTAAACAGCAAACATGGCCTCTCAACTTCTTGGTAGTCAGGGCAAAAGAGTCCTTGGCTAATTTTAGAGTTCAGAGAATCTTCTAAGGAAGAAAAGGGGCTCTCCCATTGTTAGCAGTAGCTCGAGACGCAGCTCCCAAGCCATCAGCGCTAGCAGCCTGAGGAGGACTCTATTTGAGTGAGGTTCAGATCAGGGACAAGAATTTCAAGATGAGTCGGTATGAAGTAAAGTTGGAGTTAAAAAAAAAAAACTTAATGGGCTAGGAGTGGTGGTGGCCATTAGTCCCAACACTTGGGAGAGAGAAGCAGCTGGGGCTACAGGGACACCCTGTCTCAACAAATAAACAAACAACAAAAAAGTGCTCTCTAGGCCAAGTGCTTTGAATACATACAAAGAAACCAGGAAAAGTCTATGTTTACAAAACTTCAAGTAGTTTAGTGTACCTGTGGTATAGGCCTGCACTGGGAAGATAGATAAAGCTTAGTGCCAAAGAGTTTGGAATTTTATTCTTTGGATGGTATTTAGATAGTAGAAATTATGGGAGAACTTTAAACAGGAGATGTCCTCATCAGATTTATACTTCAGAAAGAGCAGTGGATGGTGAGGATAAAGATGGGGAGGGGCAAAGAAAGGCAGATAGGACCCAAGGAGGCCCATGTAAGTCAGCAGCAGGGTGGACAAGAGGAGCCCATGCATTCACCATATGTTTAGTCCAGAAACCCAATACAGGCTGTGGCTAACTGTTGCCAGGGCAATAGAGGGGGAGGATTCAGGGATTGTACCTTCATTGCTGTGTCTACACAGTACTCCCAAAGTGCTTGCTTGATGTGTTCAGTCCTTTACATGGATTATCTCATTCAATCATCATGACAATTTTTCTAGATCCTGACACTTTCATTTGACAGATGAGAAAACTGAGGTACAGAGGAATAACCTGTCCAAGGGCACACTGTTAAGCATTTGGGTTAAACTAGAAGCTGAGTTTCTGTCTATTGCCTTATTCCTGTTACCTGCCTTGGATTTTTAAGTAGTGACTTCTGTGTATGTGTGTTGGTGTGCATGTGCACACACATGTGTGTGTGCCAGAGGACGACCTCAGGTGTCGTTTCTCGGGAGCTGTACACCTTATTTTTGAGACAGGATCTCTCACTTGCCTGGAACTCACCTAATAGGCTAGGTGAACTAACTGGTCAGTGAGCCTGAGAGGTCTGCCCTTCTCTACCTTCCAAGTGCTGGGATTACAAGTACATGCCACCACACTCAGCTTTACTTTTTACATAGGCTCTAGGACTGGAACTCGGGTTCTCAAGTTCATAAGGCAACCTATCTCCCCAGCCCTTGAGCAGTGATTCTTTCAACTGAAATAAAGATCTGAGAGGTACATGCTATACCTCAAACACAAACTAGCAGGTGAAAAGTGTGGGAACATGGTTTTCATTTGAGACATCATGAATTTGTACTAGGTGGAGATGTGGGTCTGGATCCTGGATGGAGGGGTAACTAACATGCAGCCTCCTTCCTAAAGCTTTGCTTGGGCACTCAGAACTTGAGGCTTTAAGAGTAGAAAGGAATATTTAATGATCGCTGAACAAATCTTTCCAGTAATGCTGGAGGTTGCTCAAGGTTTGACTAACATAGGAATCTTCTGACTGACACAAAATATTCACTTTGGAGTCACTGATGTTGTACATCAAAATGTCCGTCTGAGCTGTCAGTAATGGTTCCTAGTGCCGGACACAGATTTTGATGATTGGTGAGAAATGTGTGATATTGCTCCTGGATCAACCAATGAATTCTTTTTTTTTTTTTTTTTTTTTTTTTTTTTTTTTTGTCTTTTTGAGACAGGGTCTCTCCGTAGCCCCAGCTGTCCTGGAACTCAGGCTGGCCTTAAACTCACAGAGATCTGCCTGCGTCTGACTCCCAAGTGCTGGGATTAAAGGTGTGCGCCACCATGCCCGGCAACCAATGAATTCTTTTACAAAATTTTCTACATTAATATTATTAGTGTGTGTGAGTGATGTGTGTTCATGAGTGCTGGCACATGTGCCACAGCACATGTGTGGGAGTCAGAGGACAACACTGTGGAGTCAATTCTCTCCTTCTGCCTTTATGTGGGATATGGGGTCAAATACAAGTTCTCAGGTTTGCATGGCAAGCACTTTTATGCCAGCCCAACCCCTCAAGTTTTGTCATCCCTAGCATAAAAATTACCTCAGAGAGCCAGGCATGTTGGCGCACTTTTAGATCAAGGCCAGCCTGGTCTACATAGAGAGTTCCAGATCAGCTGGGGCTACAGGGAGACCCTGTCTCAAAAAGACAGAAAAAAAAAAAGTTACCTCAGAGATCCTCCATCTTCATTTTGTACCAAACCCAAGTGCTGCCCAGTCATGAACTTCAAATGTATTGATATGTGCTATGTTTTAAGTTTTCAATCCTCCCACCTTTTAATGAATAAGCATTTATTATTAGAAAAATCTTAGCCAATTTTAAAAGGCAACATTACCTATCCTATGGGTTTTAGTGTTACTCCTTCCCATTTCCAGGCAATGTAATATTCATCTTCTAGTCATCAGCATCAGCCATGCTTGGGGCATCCTACATTTAGTATGTTCCCCTCCTTTTTGATGGAACCCAGGGTCTTGTGCATGCTAGACAAACACTATACCACTTCACCCCAGCCCATGCATCTATGTTCTAAAATCAGGTGTGTTGCTGTCATGGGAAGTCTAATTCCAGTACGAGGACGCCATTACTGGGAGGTTGAAGTAGATGAGTGTTTGGACTACACTGTTGGTGTGGCCTTTGACGATGTCCCTAAACAGGAAGATCTGGGAGCAAACTGCATGTCCTGGTGCATGAGGCACACATTTACCTCAGCAAGGTAAAATCAATCCGAACCCAAAGAAAAGATCTGAAAGATACAAGTGGGAGGTTTCGCTAATAGTAATTAAGGCACGCACTCTTGCTTACAAAATGTTCTCAGGTACCTCAAAGGTTGTCAGCAATTTTAAGATGAGAACAGCTGAAGTTCTCTGTTCTCTAGGTGCCAACACTGTCCTACACTTATACAGCATGATCTGATTTGCTGTTCTCAACTGTATTGCTCCACATAAAAAGTAAGGTCACCCCTCATAGCAGCTGGATAATCCATCCACTATGGATTCAGAGCTTAGTGTCAAACCCAGGCAGTCTGATTCCACAAGTGCCATTCTTAATCACGGACTGATTTTTTTTTTTTTTAATTTATGCTCAGTTCACTGTTATTAAGCAGTCACAGCTTGCTCTGGAAGCCCAATTCCATCTTTTCAAGTCAATGTGGGTAAGAGACCATGTAACTAAGGCTGCTGAGCACTGTGTGGACTGGTTCTGCATGGGTGGCCCCACACGGCTGGGGGGAATCCCATGGAGCCCTGGCTAATGCACATTTTGAGACTTTCAAGGCCAAAGTGACCTTTCCTTGCTTGAAAAAGTGTGCAATAAGGCACACAACCAACAATCCCCCTCCAACACCTCCCCCCGCCTTTTCCAGCACCTCTTGTAAGAGGCAGCTTATGACACTTCATGGCTTGAAGCCTGCTAATGTCCCTCCTGTGTTCTTTGCCTATGATCTTCCATCATGATTATTTAAAACCTTATTGGTCATGTCCAAGCACAAAGGGAAGGCCAGCTTTCCCCAGATTCAGAGTAGACTAGACTCTGCTGACCCTCAGAACCACTTTAGGGATGCATGAATTGCTCTATATGGAGCTGGGGTGGGGATGGTAACAAGGCCTCCTGTGGACCTATATTTTTGGTTCATGGTCTTAAGAGTCCATTGGTGGAAAGAGGTAAAGAAGAAGGACTCATTTGGCTTCTGGTAGCTGGTTAGGAGAGGAAGCTGAACAGAGATGAGCTGAGATAAAGACAGGGTGACATTTAGGTGGTTTTCCAAGTGTTGGTCTTGGGAGTCTGAGCCAACATGCTGATCATCACAACTCTTCAGATGTCTGTGTGTCCTGTGGCTAGTTATAATTTTGGCCACTTTCCATAGCACATAGAATACAGCATGAAAAGGGTGCTAACGCTTAACAGTGACTGTGACACCCTGTTTAAAGTCTAAGAACTGTAATCCACGGGCTCCTTGCACACCTTTTAAACCAAAAGGCCCATTTTTCACAAGCGACCTCAGACTTCCTGCTCAAATCTTTATTACAAACAACCTATATACTTTTTTCAAATGTTTCCTATCCTGTGCTAGTTTTGATAAATTCACGGTTCTGTTACAAGGTTTTTAGGTAAATAGTTTGTTCAAGAACAAAGTTTGAAACTGTTTTTTAGGACAAATGTTAGAAGAGAAATAGTATAGTTTTGGAAATGATGTTACTTGGTAGTCATCTATCATGAGAAAATGGCAAAATTGTAGGAGTATGAGTGAAATTAATATGAAATATTATAAATAGCTCTTCTAAAGCTTTGTTGTATCAACATTTAATTTTCAGGCATAAGTATGAATTTCTGCACAGCAAGACAACTCCAGATATCAGAGTAACAGTTGCTCCAAAGAAGATTGGCATCCTGTTAGACTATGAAAATTCTAAGCTGTCATTCTTCAATGTGGACATTTCTCAGCACCTGTACACATTCAGCTGTCAGCTCCACCAATTTGTGCATCCCTGTTTTTCTTTGGAAAAGCCTGGGTGTCTAAAGATACACAATGGCATTTCAATGCCAAAGCATGTCACTTTCTTTTAGACCCTTCTGATGTTGTTTCCAGTCTCTCTGCTGCCCCTCTCTCTTAGCCACCCTTTCCTCAGCTGGCTGAACTTGGTAAGTGGTACAAGCTTCCTGCACCCAGCATTTTCATCTGGAAGACTGCTGTGCTGCGCCATGTCACCTGATGCAGACTTGTGCGCAGTTCCTTGGGTGACGTCAGTGTAAGCCATTACCAGGCAGAACTGTAAACGAGGAGTCAGACCCATTGAATTCAAAGGGCTCTCATGGAGTCAAACTGCACTTGTCTGTCGGTGGATATGTAAAGTATCTGGGATCCCCTAAGCCTACAGAATCAGGGAGAAGGACGTCTTAATGGTTTCAGCAGCTCCTATGCATTTGTGACATTTCACTGTTCATCAAGAACAGACTTCAGAAGGCAAGAAGCTCTCTGCAGAGAAACAGGAAAGCTATGTGCCCATATCAGTGCCTCTACCATAGTGCTTCCTAATGGCTGGCAGCAGCACAGCAGGGTTCCTCCCAGTGTATACTCTTTCGGACACCCTGTCCTCCCCTTGGTAATTCTGATACCACTTTGTAATTCTGGAATTACCTCTAGGATGTCTAATTTCATGGAGAAGAGATAGGGTCACCTATAACTTGACCTTGGAGCTAATGCATTAACAGGTGCACAACAACCCCATGCTGAGCAATGAGTATCTGCATTCAGCCACTGCTCTTTGGCCTCCTCACTGCCTTGTTTGGAACTACGCCAGGGTTCTTTCAAAACTCTAACAAAGGACATAGGGCAAAGGAAGAAGAAAACTTAAAAGGAGGCTTATAAAGGAACAGAAGGGCATCTGTGGCTCCATGGAACACTGCTTACTGCCACACCCACACATGCAACCTCCATGTGGATGGGGTGCTTCCCTTGTGTGTGCTGAGGAAGGGCTGGAACAAAGAACATGAGCTTCAACTGTTTCTAGGAACTGTCTTGAAATGTAAAGAGCCAGAGTTAAAACCAAGAGCCTGGTTTCACTGCTATTTTGTAGCTACTTTGCCTTAGAACCTTCTAGGCTCTTTGCTTCCCTTCAAAGGAAAAATAGTATGTATCTCACAAAGTTGTAACAAATGGCATATAGTAGATTTACAGTTTTTCAAAGTAACTACCCTCCAAAGCTGGGCCTCTGGAAAGAACAGACTCTAGCCAGCAGCTCCAGGGTATCCTGCCTCATCCTCTCCATGCATTTGGTGACCTCAGTGCCTGGTTCCATCAGCTGCATTCCTGCTTCACATTTCCAACTGCCACTTAAGCTCTGAGCACAGAGAACTGTCAAAGCTTAGGGGTCCACCTGCAGAGCAAGAACCCCACTTGTGAAACAGCAGACAGTTGAGTACCACATCCCCTGATGCCTCTCACAACACAGGTATGCCTTATTCTCATCACTCAGGGTTTTGCTAAAGGGAAACACCCTTCTCTTTAGAAATTTGTTTTCTAGTACACTTATATTCGGACAGGTCAACAACCATCTATTATTACTGAACACTGACATAAACAGCAGTTCAGGCTCCTGAATTTACCATTTACCCATTTTATAGCTTTTCTCTTACATACACTCTTGCTCTGCCAAGTTGGACTTCTTATCTTGATATAAGGAAGGTACAGTAGATGTAAACAAAGAAATGAATGGTTCAAGTTATGTGTATATTGAAAAGTATATTCAATGTGTGTATATTGAAGTATCCTCAGCTACTAACATAGAAACTACTAATGGGAAATGTGATATCATAGATACAGCAAGTTTGACTTTAGGACTCCAGAAGGCTTTCTGGAGCGCTTCACACATGACACAAACATGGGTAAATGGCTAAAATGTAACACCCACACGATTTTAATACGATTTTTTATTTAACAAGAAGACAACTATCTAGAATTATCTTTCACATTTAAAATTCACTTATGGGAGATGACTAACTTTAAGCACCACACTTATTAACCATAAAGAATCTTTGTTTAAACATCTTCAAGATGAAAAGCATAGAATAAAGCAAAAAATAAACAACTTTTGGTTTTTGTGAGATATTACAAGTCCTTAAAAATACAACCTGATGAAACAAAATTTCAACAAGGGGCAGAGTTTAGGGGCTGGAGAGATGGCTCAGTGGTAAAGAACACTGGTTGTTTTTGCAGAAGACCCAGGTTCAAATCCCAGCACCCACATGGCAGCTAACAACTGTCCATAACTCCAGTCCCAGGGGATCCAACAGCCTCTTCTGACCTCTGTGGGCATTGCACGACACGGGTACACTTACCTACAGCAGACAATACATGCATATACATAAAATAAAAAGATAATAATAAATTTAAAAATTTAAAAAAACAAGGGGCAGAGTTTACTGGCCACTTTCACCCGCAACCAGTTGGCAAGTCTGTTAAAAAAGAAAGAAACAAAAAACTATTTTAGAAAATGAGACAATCCCTGAAACAGGGCAGATAAGCCAAACATCACTACCTGCTCGCCTCCCTGCTTTACCTGTAGCACTTTACAGCTCTTGAGGAAGTTACTACATAAGCATTGACCTTCCTTGAAAAGGGGAGAGTATGAAAAGCCATCAGTCTTATGGGAGCTAGCAAGCATTTAGTAATCAGATTATATAGAATGTAAGGCACCTGTATCAGAAAGCTGGTCAGTAACCTTGGATACCAAATGGCTTCTGGTAAAATTAAATAGCTTTTTATTTACTAAAGTATTTTTCTGTTTGGGGCTTTTTATTGGTTTGGAGTTTTCTGAGTCAGTGTCTCACTAGATATCCCAAGCTAGCTTTGTACTAGTGACAATCCTCCAGCTTCAGCTTCCCAAATGATGGGATCACAGGCATGAGCCACTATGATGGCAGAAAAATGTTATGTTTAATAACTGGCTACTGGGGCTGGTGAGATGGCTCAGGAGGTGGGGTGCTTGCTGCCAAACGTGATGGACTGAGTTCAGTCCCCTGAACCTAAATGGTGGAAAGAGAGAACCAACTCCTGAAAGCAGTCCTCTGATCTCCACATGTACCATGGCACGTGCAAACTCCACCCCCCAAATATAAATGTAAAAATAATAATTGGCTCCCTGATGATTCAAATGATGACAATCACTTATACACATACAATAAAGTATTTTTTTTAAGATTTGTTTTTATGTGAGTGTTTTGCCTGTATACCATATGCATGCAATGCCATAACAGGGCATTGGATCCCCTAAAACTGGAGCTACTGACAGTTGTTGGCCACCATGTGGGCATTGGGAACTGAACCCAGATCTGGGAGAACACTAAGTGCTCTTTTCTGTTAAGCCATCTCTCCATTCCCAATAAAGTACTTCTGAAGTATGTGCTTGGTCATCAGGACAAAACAGCAAGTGCATTGGAAGCTGGGAATTCTTAATACTTCCCACTCTCCAAATCTGTTAAAATCATCATGTTAAACTCACTCACTGGAAGTCACCGACAGCACAATTTACTGTGATATGGCATTCTGTAAAGGACACTATACTTGTTTCTATCCAAGAAGGTTCAGGTACGAAAATTTCTCAATGCTGCAAAGCCTGCACTATATGAAAAGTCTTCTCAACATCCCAAACCCACCAGTGCGACCTCCAATGACCTCCCTAGCAGCTGTAGAGTAAGACTGTGTATTCACTCTGGCTTTCCTCACCCTCTCATCTTTCAATTTACTCCTATTTCCCATAGTAGGACAGTGGAAAGTGGGGAATGGCTGTTGGTAGATAAGTAGGTCTTGAAATTATTTTGCAAACAAGACCTGTTCTATCTACCTTTTCATTTAGGAGGCTAAAAGTAGAGTCAGCTTGACTTCAAGAACTCTATTTTCTTAGTCTCCAGAAGAATATGGACTAAATCCACCATTTAAACATTATTCTTAAGCTGAGCACAGTGGTACATACATGTCTGTAATCCCAGCACTTGGAAGGTAGAGCAAGGAAGAACAGGAGTCCAAGGTCATCTTCAGCTACAAAGCAAGTTCAAAGCCAGCCTGGGCTACACGAAATCCTGTTTGAAGAAGCTAAACCACAAGTGAGGCATGGTGGCTCAGGTTGTAATCTCAGCACTCAGAAGGTTGAAGCAGGAAGACTGCTGCAAATCTGAGGCTAGCCTGGGCTACAGTGAATTCCAGGGCAGCCTGAGCTACAAAGTGAGACCTTGTTTCAAACAAACAAGCCAAAACTCATGCATGTTTCTCTCGCTGCCCATGGTTAACTGAGCTAAATGTAAGGTAACAGCCTGCTAGTCAGCCTCTGCCATTAGGAAGGAGCGTGCCTATGACCTGGCACAGCTGCTGCTCAGCAGAGTTGCTGCACAGCTTGTCAAGTATGCTGTGTCCCACTGTGTCACTGCTTGTTTCCTGCTATCACCGATCCTGGAAATAAAATGAGGCTTAGCTAATTGCTGGACTGATTTTCTTCCTTTTCCTAGACTTTGACAGAATCAAGGTTTTCTGCTGTCTTCACTTAATCTTGCTGCCTCCCCATTCTTATTCCTAAGCCTAAAGCAGGATCTTTTCCTTGAAGGGAACTGAGTTACCCTTATATTCAAACACACTGGTTTGGAGACAGGAATGTAATCTGCTCATTGAGAAAACATCCAACCAACAAAAAACCCGAGGTTTCCCAGTTGTTTTAATAAAACAGAAACACAGCTCTTGAAACAGATGGACTGGGTGTACACATTAGTGTTTTGTAAGCCTGACTGTCATTTTGCCATTTACTTCTCTACTTCTTTCCACATCCCAAATATCCACTACCTGAAGGGGAGGGAGGTAGAGACAGGGAAGGAAGAAACAAGACGCTCAGTCTGAACAGACAGCCTCTAGAGAAAGTTGTAAGATACTCAATCCTGTCTTCTTACTATATACTCTTAAAACAGCAAGTGACTCCTAGGCACCTAGAGTGGACCTCCTCTTCCTTGTCCACCTAATGCCTATACAGCTCAAAACCAATCACCTCTGGGAGGCACCTCCTAATCCCTCTGTCTCTCAAGTGGAGGTATACGCTGCAAGCTCACCTATGACAGAATACTCAGGGGTCTGCTCGGGTGTCCACTTGACTAGAAGCAGATCAAAAACAGGCTGTGGCTGCATGAATGATCAGAGCATGAAAACGACTGCTGCTTTCAGGGAACTCATATACCTGAAAAGAGAAATGAGACATCAAATTATCTTTTGAATCAAAGGAAAAGCTTCTTTATTAGAAATCAAAGCAGCTTTCAAATCTGTATGCTCTTGGGGGATGTCAGGTGAGTTTTAAAATATGGACTAATGGGCCTGGAGAGATGACTCAGCAGTTAAGAGCACTTGATATTCTTGCTGAGGACCCAAGCTTAGTACCCAGCACCCACATCAGGCAGCTTACAACTGCCTATTACTCCAGCTCTAGGGGATTCAACACCCTTGTCTGGCCTCTGTGGGCACCTGTACTTGTGTGCACATATATAACTACAGATACACAGACACATATACATAATTAAAAATAATAAAAAAAAAATATATGGACTAATGTTTCTCTTCTATCCCAGGATACCTAAGGGATCTGACTTACCAGCCCACTAGTAATTGTGGTGACTTTTAATCTGTGAAGAGTGAGAATGGGTACAGAAGAATGAGAGGTTGATGGGTGGGTGTGATTTAGAATGTTTCCCACATTACTGCAAGAAACCTCTGACCCTCACATTTAATACTCTTTATAGTTTTGAGTATTCCTAAAATAGCCCAAAGATCCACAATATGTATATTTTAAATATCTGAATCATAAACTTGGTTCTTAATCACCAGAGGCTGGTGTATGGAAGTTGCCCCTAACCCACTAAGTTTAACTATCTATCTGGCATTTAAAGCACAACACAACATGGCTATCTGCTAGTTTTAGAATCTAAGATTTTTATAGAGGAAATTACACCCTGTAAAGGTAATGACAAACTTACAGACTTGTAAAGGTTACAGCTATTTCTTGGATTCCATCTTAAATGTCAATGCTGTAAAAAATAATTTTATAGGACTCCCTCATAAGTGACATAACCAACAATTAAAGTAACTCAGTACTTAGTCACAGTCCTTGTCCCCCAAACAACGTTGGCCAAATTTATATATTCTCTATAGGCAAAAATCAAATGGAGGCGCCCATCATTACTGAAATTTCATCCTTTTCTAAAAAGGTGATGGATGGCTAGAATTTTCATAGTGGAATCCTATATTCCATTATTTTAAATCAGAAATGAATGTTCCCAGCCCTTCAAAGGACCTTAAGCCAATTTCTAAAAAACAGCCACATTTAACTGCCGAAGATTTCTACATAAGATTTTGTGGGTTTTCCCCACCTCCCCCTCTTTGGTGCTGGGGATCAAATCTGGGGCCTTGCCCAATCAGCTCAAGAAGGTATTTAAAATCATTTACCTACTTATATAACAACTATATTCAGTAATGGGTACATTTTGTATAGTTACTTACTGATTGAAAAATCATGAGCATTCAAGAAGAGAGAAGGAGGTGGAAGATGGAGGCTGTAACACACTGCTGGTTACTGGCAGAAGGTGAGCCATGGTTAACCGTCCAAGAGAATGAGCAGAAATGAAGATGTCTGTCACTTGTCCCTGTCCAAATCCAATGAACTGGTCTTCTCTTCTGGGCCCCAGGCTCTCTAGTAGTCTGAACCACTCACTGGAGACAAAAAAAGCAGTGAAGGCTGAGGGTGCAGTGCAGTGGTGGAGCACTTGCCTAGCATGCTTGCTGCCCTGGTGTCAGTTCCTAGTACTGAGGTATGGGGGAGCAACAGGACTAAAGAATACAAAATGTAGACCTATTTGCATTTCTGTGTCTAGCCCTACACAGCTTCTAGAGATGCAATGCTGTGCTTATTATTGTATTTTCAGGTGATACTTCTGCCCATGTCACTGTCACAACAGTAATCGTTTGTCTACATAATTGAAAATAATTTTTTAAATATTTGGATAAAGCAGCTTTTAAAAAACTGTAACATTTTTATTAATTGGACATTTCATACATGCATACAATGTATTTGATCGTATTCATTCCCATTCCTCCCCCTAACTACTCCCAGATTCACTCTCACCCCGATTCAACTTCATATTCACTCTCTCTCTCCCCCTCCCTCCCTCCCTAACTTACTAATTTGTGTTGCCCTTAAACTCTTAGGTGTGAAGCCATCTAACAAACCCATGGGTATGCAGCCAACCTATGTGGGGAAATACCCTTAAAGAAAACAGTCTCTCTCTCCCAGAAACCATCAACTATCAATAGCTTCTCAACTAGTAGTAGGCCTCCTCCATGCTGGAATGTTGACTGGCTCGACTTTGTACACGTCTTATGCAGGCAACCACACAGCTTAAAAAAAAATTTTTTTTTTTTTTTTTGGGGGTACTAATGGTTGAACATAGAGCCTTGTGATATCTCTAGCCCTTTCATTTTCACTATTTATTTCAGGTCAAGGTCTTGCTAAGTTGCCTGGGAGGTCCTTGAATTTGCTGTTCCCCTGCCAGTCTCCCAAGTAGCTTGTATTTCAGATCTGTGTCATCAGGACTGGCTATGAAGCAGTTATTCTTAAAATGTAGTTCCTGTGGAAGCCTCTGAAAGCCTTCCAGGGATTAATGAGGTCAAAATTATTTTCATAACAATACATTATTTGCTCTTTCTCCTCCTCTTCTGTAAATAAATAACAGAATTTAACTGGAGGCTACATAATATTTAAGGACATTCACCTCTATCAAAATTAGTGGACAGGGCAAGAGAGATGGTTCAGTAGTTAAGAGCACTGACTGCTCTTGCAGAGGACCCAGGTTCAGTTCCCAGCACCCACATGACAGCTAACAACCATCCATAACTCCAGTTCCATGGGATCAGACACCCTCTTCTGGTCTCCACTGGCATTACATATATATGTGCACTTACACACATGCAGGCAAACAGCCGTAAAACATGGGGCGCCCACTCTTCTATGAATAAACTCCTACCCTATGATCTGTTAAAAATAATAATAATATGGGGCTAGAGAGATAGCTCAGTGGTTAAGGGCACTGACTGCTTTTGCAGAGAACCTGGATTCAATTTCCAGCACCCACATGGTGGCTATGAACCATTCTTAACTCCAGTTCCAAAGGAATCAGAAGTCCTCTTCTGACCTCCATGGCATTGCACAGCAGGGGTGCACTCACATACATGCAGGCAATACACTCATACACTTAAAAAAATAAAAATAAATAAAATATTTTTAAAAATATGTAATAAATAAAATATTAAATAATTAAAAAATAATAAATGAAATATTAAGAGAATATAGTGGAAAACAGTTCTCATCTTTTCAAATACCAAAAATGCCCTTTTGAGCTTTCAATAATTTTAAGGGTGTTTTGAGGCCAAAAAGTTTGAAATTCATTTATATTTAGTAATCATGGCTCCCCCACAACTGAGTATGTAATTGAATGAGTTCCTTATTACTAAGATCTCCTGTATGTGATGCTAATAGTTTCTCAGTATTTGGCAATGTAGTTTGTTTTCTGGACCTCTTGGGCTTCCTTACTTTTTTCACAGGTTTCCATTTTCCTACAACACGTTTCCATTAATACAGGAGACATAATAGCAATAATGTAGAATACACTTAAAACTACAGAAGCATCAAATGTATTACCTACAAAGTCGGCAGAGGTTTGCCTGCAGTGAACTCTATGCGTATCCCATTTGGACTTGCAGGCAACTTACAATTCCTCTATAGGTAACTTCTCATATAGAGCTTTGGATAAATTTCTACAGGTTGTTACAGCAAAGCCATAGTCAAAGATCAGCTATATGGCAGTCTTCTGGAAGGACTCATATACTGTTTAATGATCCCCAGGTCTTTCTATGGTACTGGTAATGACAATTCCCATCTTCAGATTTTGTCATTACACGTTATATGGGAAATGACAAGTGACAAGACAGGCTCATCGCCATCAAAAATGTGTCAAAAATGTAGATCATGACACATAACTTTGCCTTTGGTGGATTCACACAGTATCTAAATGTAACCTCACCATCCTCTTCATTCCTTCAACTCTCCACCCTCCTCACCCATCCACCCTCACCATCAGCAGTTTAAAAGCAATCCGTGTAGACTACTGCCTACAAGAATCCTTGGTTGGATATGAAGAAATTGCACTTTTGATCGTGACTCGGTCCTTAACAAGCTGTGTGATTTTCCACTTGTCTCTTCGCTGTACCACAGTTCAACCTGAAATGAAGTGGACCATCAAGATGTCTTTGTTTCACCTCTAATATTACATGACTTTGCTGGCGTATTCAAGAAGCTTAAAAAGTACCAAGTATGTGCGCACTCTTGCTTAAAATTAAGCAGGGGGAGGGGAGAGACTCAAATGTGTGTGTGTGTGTGTGTGTGAGAGAGAGAGAGAGAGAGAGAGAGAGAGAGATTAAACTTTAGTCTGTGAGTGCGTATTTTTCCCTTCCACATCTACCCAACCACTGCAGCTCCGTGGATTATCAACCCTATCTTTGCAGAGATGGAGAGAAACTAAGTGCAATGAAGCAGGAAAAAGGTCCGGGCCGCTTACCCGTCTCTGCTCCCATTCCCTGTGACGCCTGCTGACCAGGACACCACTGTCCCCCGCCGCTCCAGGGCCAGACTTTGGCGCGACTCTGCAGAACCCATGTGGTGAGTGAGCATCAGGTGTCAAGCATCCCATTGCAATTCCTCTCTCCTTCCGGAGGAAAAGATATCTCCTTCCGGTTTCCTGGGCGCAGGGCGGAAGTCCCGCCTCGCGCAATACGCGGAGCCGCAGGGCACATCGGGACTCCGTGCACAGGCTCGGTGCCAGTTACCTGTTCCGGGTATCCCGGGTGGTGGCAGCGACCCCCGGGACGGAAGGACTGAATGACGTGACGGACGGGTTCCTGGTTGGGAGTAGAGAGCAGCTTGGGTGTCCCCTTCCGGGCTTCCCCGGGGAATGGCATCCTGGGAACTGAGGTCCGCCACACCTCCCCGGTCGTGCGCACTCTGTTTGGCACCACCCATCCGTAGCGTCCAAGCTCCATTCTGTTGCTCTGTCGAGCCCAGTGTCTTGCCACTACATACCGAGAGCTGACTGCACAGTATGTCAGTAGGGGCTCATCGGCGTTTTTAGGCTCACTTGGTGCTAGCCCAAGCATTTTTAAGGTGGAAGGGACAGAGAGCCTCCTTGATCCTGGCCTTTGCCAGGGGACAAGGTACTCGTGGATCTAGAACGATGTTACTGATAAAATCACCTCTGGATTAGTTTCCTGGGGACTGTTCTAAGAAAGCCTCACATGCTAGGTGGCTAAAACAACAGACTGACATTCTGGAATGTGAGAGGATGTAATTAATGAACGTGTCAATAGGGGTCCGAGATTCTGAGTAGACACCTTTGACACTTTTAAATTTCCAGTTGCCAACAGCCTTGTACATGCTTTGTTTTGGAGCTATGTCACACCACTCTTGTCAAATGGTGGTCTCCTTATTTCTGTTTGTTTCTGTTTTTTTTTTTTTTAATCAGTCCTCTTGGATTAAAAAGCCCATTTTGCTCCAGTATAACACAACTACTTACATGTGCACTGACCCTATTTCCAAATAAGATCACATTGTGAGGTTCCAGAAAAGACATGAACTTCAAGGGGGACAATATCTAAAACAATACAGCTGTCAAAGTTCTTCAGGAATAGACAAACTAAAAGCTGACCATAAATAGCTGTAGAATGAGTGAACACAAACAGCTAATTTGGATCTCAGAAGTTTGGGGCCAGATTTTGAAACAAAAGGAACAAAATAAAATAAGGAAAGAAGAGTTGGTCTTTTAAAGTAGATTTAAGCAGAAAGGATCATAAGTACAGATCAAGGTGTTTGGATTCTATTTTATACAAAATTAGAAGTAAAAATGTTTCATCAGTGGTGTTGTGCTTTGAAGAGTAATTTGCTACCAGTTTGAGCCAACCCTGTTTTGTTTTTCATAACCCCAGTTTAGGAAGGCATACATAACTCCTATTTCTAGACATGACCTGTGCTTTTCTCATCCTGGTGTGGGCTCATTCTGTCCCCTCTGCCTGGAATGCTACCGTCAAGCTGCACACTTGTCTATTTTACTGTAACAGATACTATATTTTAGCATAATATAAGAATGTATTTAAATCACATTATAGCATTAGTGGCCTAATACCAAAACCTGGCAAACATATCACAGGAAAAGAAAATTTGTGGCTAGACTCACCTAAATACAAAGTTCTAAAAATATCAGCAAATCTAATCATGCAGTCTTTCTAGATATAGAAAGAAATGGTTTATCCAAGACATGATTTAACATTAGAAAACCTATTACTGTAAGTTGCTGTGTTAATAATTTAGAAGTTTAATACTATATAATATCTCATTTGCTAACATTTTAAAACTCAATATCTATTTCATAAAATGAGAATAAATAGCATTTGATGAAAAGCTTTTAGCAGAATCCTATAGTAAACATGATACTTCAAAGATATTGTCAGAGGAAAATGTGAATACCCATTTTTAGTGCTAATATTCAACATAGTGATAGATTTTTTTTTCTACCTAGAGCAGTAAAACTAAAAGGCAAAAACATTAGGAAAGAAATAAGTAAAATATCCTTTTCATATAACATGATTTTCTTTCTAAGAAGACTGATAATGATAAACTATTAAATGATGCTGCAAAATGGCTAAATAGATTAAAATATAATACTTGTTATTACTGATAACAAAATGCAAAGGGAAAAAAGGAACCCATTCAGGCCACAGAGATGGCTTGGTGGATAAAGGCACTTGCAGCCAATCCTGATAATCTGAGTTCAATTCCCAGAACTAACATGGTGGAAGAAGACAATCAACTCCCTCAAGTTGTCCTCTGACCTCCACACATGGGCCATAGCAGGAATGTGTGTGCGCGCGTGCGCACACACACACGTAGAAGTTTCTTAAAATTAAAAAGGAACCCATCCAAAGGGGCCAGTATGAAACACCTATGAAAAGTAGAACAAAAGATGTATGAGATTTAAGGGAAATATAAGATATTATGGAAAGACAGTAAAGACGTTAAGTAGGCAGAGATTATATCTTCCCTGAAGGGAAAATTCAATGTTTTAACAATAATAAGCTATTGCAAATTTATAAAACATTTGATGCAGTGGGGCTGGTGAGATGGCTCAGTGGCCAAGCCTCTTTTAGTAAGAGTATAGTGGTTTTTTAAAAAATATTTTTATATATTTATTAATTTAAAAAAAATTTTATGTGTATGAGTGTATTGCCTGCATGTATGTGAGTGCACCTGTGTCGTGCAGTACCACAGAGGTCAGAAGAGGGTGTCGGATTCCCCTGGAACTGGATTCAAGGACTGTTCATAGCCGCCATGTGGGTGCTGAGCCATCTCTCCAGCTCCTTGTATAGTGGTTTTTATTGCTGCATTAGTTTACATTTCTCTGACATGTGATGTGGCTGTCTTTTCATATGCTTATTTTCCATTTAAATATATCTTCTCAGCTGAGATCTCTGTTGTTTTTGGCTCATTTTTAAAATTGGATTTATTATCAACTTTTAACAGTCCTTTTCATATTGTGGGTAATACTAATTTACCAGGTGTGTCTTTCACAAATATTTTCTCCCAGTTTATGGCTTGGCTTTTCATTCTGTTGAAAACCTTTCACTGATAAGTAATTTTTCTTTTACCTTTTTGTGGTGCTGGGGATTGCATCCAGGGGCTTTGCACATTCTGGGTGCTATGAACTTGCTGTGCTAGAAACATAAAGTTAGAATGTATTGAATAACAAATCACAAGCTACATCAGTTCACTGGGGGCAATTTGCCAAGTAATCTCAATTTCCCTTGGCAGCATGGCCATTGACAATCACAAGGTTTTTGTTTTACTCAAAACTTTAAAAAAAATATTGTGGAGCTGGAGAGATGGCTCAGTGGTTAAAAGCACTGGCTCCTCTTGCAGAGGACCTGGATTTGGTTCCCAGCACCCACATGGCAGCTAACAATCATCTGTAACTCCAGTTCCAGGGGATTCAGTGCCCTCTTCTGAGTTCTGTGGGCATTGCATGACAAGGGTGCACTTACATACCAGACAGGCAATATACTCATACACACACAAAAATAAAAATAATATTAAATGTTACATTTATTTATTTATTTATTTATTTATTTGGAGGTCAGAAGACAACTGGCAAGAGTCAGTTCTCTCCTTCTTAGTATATGGGTTCTGGATATCAAATTCAGTTCATCAGGCTTGGCTGCAAGTGTCTTTACCCACTGGCCCATCTTGCTGGCTCCTTTTTTAATCTTAATTACTAATATTAACTGAGATCACACATTACAATTCACATGGGGGACGGGAGAGAGAGAGCGAGAGAGAGAGCAAGAAAGAGTGAGAGAGCCCTGCTATATTCTATCTAATCCTCAGAACTATATGCTTTGTACTACTAGAGTGTGTGTGTATTGCAGAATTACTACAGGTTAAAGAAGACACAGAATTGAGAGAACTTACTGAAGGCAGAGGCAGAGCATTAATGATGCAAAGAGGTGGTTAGATACAATATTATTAAACCCATTGGAGAGCTGCTGGAAGTTACAGTACAAAGTCACCTAGGTCCTGGGGTTCAGAACCACTGAAGGAGGTGCAGAATTATTGAGGCAGGTGCAGTGCCACAACCAGATGGACTGATGAGAATCTGAGTGGCTGCTTTGATTGAGCATGTCAAACAGTGGGGACCATGCTGAGCTGAAGCACTGGGATAGTCAGAAATTCTCTTTGTGTGGATCTCTTGATACATGCACTGCGGGTCAGATGATAGGCCATCACAGTGGTGTTAGTGCTCCTTTTATGTGATCCAGGTTGGGGTGTTGCATCATATAAAAATTCAAAGGCCTGGTTTTTCTGAAGCGTTTTAGTACATGCATGTGCCCAAGTATTCCCAGTCTATTTTGTTAAGCCCATGGGTGATTCTTTTTTACCTACATGAATAAGATTTATCAATCTGTACTTCATGATTCATGCTGGATAGTTGGTGGTGACTCTGTAGTCAGGGGCTAGGGAGAAGGCTCAGCCAGTAAAATGCTTCCCACACAAGCATGAGGACCTGAGTTTGGATCCCTAGCACTTACATAAAAAGCCAGACTTCGTGGCATAAACCTCTAATCCTAGTACCGGAGAGGAAGAAACAGGAGGATCCTGGACCCTTGTTGGCCACTGAGAGACCCTGTTTCCAATTTCATTGATTTCTGCTTTTACTTTTATTATTTTTCTGTTTACTTTGTATTTTATTTGCTTTTCTATTTTTCTAACGTGAAAATTCAGATGATTCATTTTGCATTGTGCTTTATTTCTAACCTATACAATTAATGCTATACATTTCCTACTAATCAGTGCTTTTGTTGTGTCCCACAAAATTTGAAATGTTGTATTTTAACATTCACTTGTCCAAAATATTTTGAGTTTGTGTTTATGTGTATGAATGTGAGAAGGTACCTGTGGGGGTGGTGTGCATGCTCATGTGTACACATACATGTGGAGACCAGAGGTCAACCTCCAGTGTTGTTCCTTAGGAACCAACCACCTTTTTTGAGACAGAGACTCTCTCTAGTCTGGAACTTACTAAGTAGGCTAGGCTAACTGGCCAGTGAGTCTTAGGAATTTGCTTGTCTCTGCCTCCCCAGCACTGGGATTACAAGCTTACACCACCATATCCAGGTGTGTGTGGAGGAGAGGGAGTAAGTACA